TTCCTTTCTCTTCTATGGGATCTACAAAAGTCAATAATGGATTCGGGCTACCTCCTGCACCTGTACTATGTGAAGATATAAACACCTCCAAGGAACCACCGACCTCAAAGTGCACTGCATAATCCTAAAACACACTCTCCAAAATCCTTGACTAATAACAGATTTTCTTTACCCAAGAACAGCCCTAGGTCACATAGGCTTGAAAAAATCAGCAAAAGGGTACTTTGGACCACCTGCACAGCATGGAGAAAATTTAACCTTCAGCTCTCTGAATAATTTAAACAGCTAAGTCATTCCTCAGGAATGTGCTTGTTGTAGTGAGTTACAAGTTGAGCTGAAAACACCATAAACTATTTAGAAAAAAAATTAAGTTTTGCCTGTGTTCTTTTTAGCCCACAAATAAAAGAAACTTGCTAGAAAAAAACAAAGAAAAGAAAAGATTTATTGAGAGATATCTCTTCAGAGATAGCAACCCGAAAGTGGGTGGCCACCGAGGCCCTTTGTCAGGGGTAATTTATACAGCAAAGTCACAACGTGGGTACAACGCGGGTCAAACTCCCATCAACCTATAGAAGTACAAGTATAGCTGTTTAGCTACTATTGGTCTAAAAGGGAATTGAGTCATGTAACAAGGGTACACGGAAAGAACAAAGGCACTTTCAGGAAGGGATGGGTCAGGGTACTTGGGTTACCCACCTGGGCAACTGTCTTGGTTACTTTTCTCATTGCTGAGACAAAATGCTCAGTAATACTGGGGATTGAGTACAGGGCCTTGTGGAGGCTAGGCAAGTGCTCTACCACTCAGCTACATCCCTAGTCTTTTTTGTATCTTATTCTGAGACAGGATCTCACTGAGTTGTTCATGCTGGGCTCAGACTTGCTACCCTCCTGCCTCAGCCTGTGGGATAGCTGGGGTTACAGATGTGGACCACCATGGCCAGCTCCTACCTTTATATTTTATCTATACTTAATTCATGCCATGTAACTTTATACCTTGTGTAAAATGATTTCTTCTTTTTTTTTGGTACCGGGGATCAAACTCAGGACCTTGCACTTTGGAGGCAGGAGGTGGCACCACTGAGCTAAATCCCCGGGCCCAAAGTGATTTCTATTTATTGATATTTATTATTATTTATTT